CCCCCCCCCATCTTAGATGTCTCTACCTTCAGTTTATTAAATTAAAGTTACTTGATAAAAGGAAGATGTATTTTGGTTTTAAAACGTTCATATTGTGTCATTTGCATGCCAAGAATTTTATATATCAAATACTATTTACCTGTAGTGGTTGTATCACTTGTGACAACATGGTATATTCTATTTCCCCAGCCATGTTTTGGTGGTAAAAATTTCTCGCCAGTCATCTTAATGCCCCTCGAACGATTGTTTATATCTTCATTCGGCCTGTAGAATAGTCCAGTAGCCGTCAACCATTGAGATTTTAGAGTACTAAACAACAGTGACTGATCGTCTTCAAGCTCCAATTCTACCTCCTTCCCTTCATGACAAATGACAACATATTCCTCTGGCTCCACATCTTGACAAATAAATGTTTATATATTCCGTTATTTTATATCTTGCTCCAAGAGAAGTACAATACAAGACCAAAAAAGCTTCATTTGTGATGAATATTAAAAAGGCATTCATGAATATTTATTAAATAAAATGAGAAAAATCAACACTTACCGTGTTCAGTATTTGCCGCCATTTTCCAGAACTGATGACACATGGTGACAGAATTTATCCCAGATGTACCTGAGATCCCACTGTGTCCCTGCTCATTATATATGCAAAATGACAAAATGTGTCAAATGCCCCTGCCCCCGGGACTGTACTGATTGTCAAATTCCCCCCACACGGGACATACTTTCTCGTCAAATCCCGCCTCCTTGCCCCGCCTCCCCCCCCCGCCGGCCTAACATTGATAGGTGCATAATATTAACTGACAATCGATTCTGATATTCAGTTTTAGACTGGCTAACATTTTTTAGAAATTTACTAGTTTCATAGCTAATTTGTAATGTAACTTTAAACTTCTGTAATATAGAATTATAAATTGTAATGTAATTTTAAACTTCTGTAAATATAGAATAACTAATTTAATAATTTTTCTTGTAAAATTTAGCACGCAATTCAGCCTCTTGGCTGCTATGTGTTAATCTTATTAAACAAACAATCTATCTATCTATCTATCTATCTATCTATCTATCTATCTATTTACTACACCAAATAACTTCTTTCCAATCTCTGGTTTAAATATGATATAATTCACTTTAATATCAAAATGTAACAATGGAGATTCATCATAAATCTCTGCTGATCTTTGCAGTACTTTTATATTATCATAAGCAACTATAATCCCGCCATATTCATCAAGAAATTTCCAACGTTGTATTTTATGTTCAATTTGCTCTTGAACACCGTGTTTAATACGGCCAATATAATATGGAGATAAAGCTATGTGTTCTTGTGTTTCTATTTCAACAAAACATGAATGTTTTTCACTGCATTTTCGTTTCGCCTGTGCATAAGTCCAATTTATATTTCTTGCCAGAGGAGGAGTGAGGACTATACCGGCATGCAACGCGGTCAGGCGCGGTTTTTTACATATTATCGATTTCTCGCTCTGCGCCGTCATTGTTCGGTCGGTTTTCGCTGTGTTTACACCTCGAGGTTTCAAGAGATTCAGAAAAGATTTATCGAAAAAA